TTTGAGTTACTCACCTATTTAAAATATTATTACCTAGATCATAAACTGGATCATCTTAAATTATCCAGATTATCTAGATAACCTGGTTAACCTATTTCACTTATATAATTTTTTAAAAAATTTATTTTATACTGATAAAAAAAAAAGAAAATTTACAAATAAGGATCTGAAAAGTGAAAACAATTATAAATATGAGCCCAAATTAAAAATAATTATATATAAGAGCCTAATTTTTTAAAAATATTATATGAGGCTCACAATAGCAAAATCACAATTATAGAATTATTGATAATTATCTATATACTGATTATTAGATAAAAGGATAAATGAAGTACTAGTTAGTTATAATATTGTATAAAAATAGAGTTAAACTAGCACAAATATTCATAAGGCAAGGTTTTAACAAAGTATATAGCTCTCTAAAGCGAATATCTATATATTTGTAAATTACATAAAAAATAACTAAAATTTATATAATACTAATTATATATTTGAATTCTCAATAAAAATTTATATAATTATAATTTTGCTTAAATGCTATTGCAATCACTAGTTAATCACATCAGAATGATGCTAAAGAACAACATCTTTGTTCTCTTATTATTCAATGATCCAATTGTTGTTGTACAATCAAATCTTTTGAAATATGTTATTAAACTTCTTATTGCATTAAACCATATTCAACTTATTGCTTTAAAAATTTCTGTGATTTTTGAATTAATTTTAGAGAATGATTAGTATGCTAAAATTTTATAGCTGGTTTCATTACTTTTTAAATATTTGATAAAAATTAATCAAAAGATTATTTGGCCAATTCAATAAGATTTTAATAAACTTTTGATTTGGTTTAGTTATTAATTTAAGATATGTACATTGTACCAAAGTCAAAAATTTATCAAATCGGCCAAACAGTCATCTTATAGATAATTAATCTGGGTTACCCAGTTAATAATACTATGACTAGTTAACGGGTGTTAACCGGGTTACTCAGGTAACTCTTATATGGGTACAAGCTCTACTTATATGCCATTTTAGAAAGTTCTAATTTTTGAAATAATGCCCATAAGTATTATTCTGTGGCTATATGGTATGCCCATTCAACACTACTAATTTTTATTTTTTTTCTCTTTTTTTTTAGTTATGCTGTGGTAGGGTTTGACTTGATTGGTTCACTATATAATCACAGATTACAAAATACACACTTTTATTACTTATTTAACAAGATAGGTTTTAATATTATGATACAATAATTATTATTCTTTATGCAAAATTTATATAAATTGTAAGTATAACACAGATATTTTTAGAACATAATCATACAAGATAGCATTATTCTCAAGGCTTCGACAAGAAATCATAAGATTTTATCATACAATATAAATATTATTTCTTAACAAGCTCTAACAAAGATCAAGTTAAGGTTAATAAGAATTTGGTAATATTTTTTATATATTAAGAAATACCCTTTACTCAAATAATTACTATATTTGTTTGACAAATACACACTCTGGTTATTTTATCTAGCAAGAAGCTATTTTTCTAAAGATATAATGTACAAAATTATAAAGACTAACAATATACTGCAAGTACTGTATATTGTGAAAGCAAATACTCTAAACCATGCTTTATTTAATCAATTTCTGTTGCAACTAGTAAGAACAAAATTGTTTTTCAAAATCATCCCAAATTACAGATATGTACTAAAATATTTAAAGTAAAAGATAAAAAAGAGTGAAAATAAAACAAATTAGTTATACTGGGTTGTAAAAAAAAAAATTCTTGAAATATCTAAGTTGTCTATTTATTATTAAAGTATTAGTCTTTTATATAATATTCGCTTATAATATATAGGGCTGTAATAAATAAATCAAACAGTTAATAACTTAAACAGTAAGTTATAAATTCAGGATTAAACTTTTTTTCACTAATCAAGATAATATTCATATTATAATATTTGTTTGATATGTAGTGCATGAGTAAAATCTATACATACATCCTGTTAGAAACAACTGACACAACAAAATCACATTAATTTGCAATCCAATCGGATTCATAAATTTGTATATACCCTTTTACTTACTATATAATTGTATTGCAACTCTAAGTTGGAGAAATTTCACAAAAATAATATTCAATTCAATTAGCAAAAATTTTTTTCCAGTATATTATAAATTCTTCAGCAGATAATGTATTTATTATTAGTAAATATATGACAATATCCATTAAAATTTATATAATATACTATATAAGCACGAGGGTGTAATTTTGAAATTTGGCCTAAATTAAGCCTAATTCAGGCTGTTATTCAAAATAACACCCCTGTATGTTATTTCGTACTTATACAGTACATATATAGTATATTTTATCACTTTATTTAGATGGTTGAAGAATATGTAAAATAAGGAAATGATATACAAGATGTCAAGATGCTATTATTATAACTTCAACAAAAACTATATTATAGATAATATAATGGTTGAATTGGGAAAGCAAAAACTATTATAGACAAATAGTGCCAATTTGAACTCCAACTGATTACGGAATTGGAGTTTATATAACTGAAGTAAGGTATAAATATGTCTTAATATTAATTAATTACAATGAACTTAATATAATGATAAAGAAACATGCAAACGTTGAAGGTGATGAATTAAAATGATTTGGAATTAATATAAAGGAAGTTAATAGTCAAAGAATAGTATTAAGAGAGTTTATAGTTAATTGATAATAGTGTTTAATGAGAAGTATCTTGAATAAAATATAAGACTTAAAATAAATCAGTCTTAAGAACAACTATGAAGTGAAGGCCGATTCAAATTGATATCAAGAAATTCTGATATCAGAAATGACAAATTATATTGATGGAAAGATAATAGCAATAGATATTGATACTTTAAAAGATATATTATAATTCAGTTCCAATATTTATAAAATCAGTTGATGCTAGTAATGCCAAAGGAAGTGGGGGCTATTACTTTACATGTTCTAAACTAATTCTTTTCTTAGATAAATGATCTTTTAGTTATAAGTCACGTGAGCAAGTTCCAAAGATGTAAGAAGACAGTTACACAGAAGTTCGAGTCTTAATAAAATCAATCGAAGTTACTAGTCAATTCAGTTCATCAAATTGAGTCTCAAAGGTTTTTATTAAATTTAAAGTTGAATTCAAGAGATAATTATTTTACACTACTACTTTCTTTTATTTTTATAAAGGACATGGAACTTGTTTAACTTTATTAAAACTGAAGAGTTTATATACATTAAATTTTCTTTGAGCATTTTTGCTCTATCACAAGCAAATTCATGCTATCTTAAACATATACATTTTTTTTAAGCAGTTACACTTTAATTTGAATGACTATGCTCTTGGTACAGGATCTACATACTTGTGTAAGTGCATATACATGCTATTTAGAGCATTTATGTGTATATATAAGATAAGCCACCAAGCCACAATCAATTACTTATTTAGTATAGTTAATTGAATATTCCCATCGTGACTATGCTATGTGGGTACTGTTATCAAAATGAAATTGGTAAAGTAAACTAAATAGAAAAAAATAACTGAACTAAAATAAAAACTATAATAAAATAAAATAAACAACATATAAAAAAATAAACTAAAAAATATTTGTTACAATAGCTTCATGAATTTACAAAGTGCCTTATAATAACTTGAAAATATCCAATAATCATTTGTCCTATTTTTGCTTACATGTATAATAATTTTCATAATGTTTTAGAAACATATAATGATTAGTAAAACTTTCACTGCAACTCTGGACAATCGATTTTTAGCTCTTTCTTATTATCAGATGTTTCTGGTGTTGGGGCCTGTAGCAAATCAAAGTAAATAAATCTATTGCATAAGTAATATAATAAGAAAATAAACAATAACAACATACTTGTGAAACAACATAGTCTATCATTTCAACCTCTAGTGTAAAACCCGGTAGAGCGCCTCCACCATTGTCGTGCCCGCCACTGGTCCACAAAGTACTTGGTCTTTTCTCTTTCGAATTCGTTTGCTTTGCCTTAACCATGAAGTTGGTGTATCGTCAGATACTTCCTTATGTGCCCCTACCACGCACATAAGAGTCGTAACCATCCATAACTTAGTTACGTCCTTCTATCAGCAAAAGGTTCAGTATATGCTTAATATTCGTTTCTAAATTATTATATCATAATTAATCACACGATAGTTAACTTCAATTACATAATTAATTAATAATTCGATACTTATCTTTCACTTCAATCATATATTTATTATGCACCTGACGTACGTATGATAATCAGGGACGTGTGGATTTTGTAATTTGCTGTGATCGAAGCAAATCACAAAAAGTATGTAGTTTACTGCGATTTGCTTCGATTATAGAAAATGCACTTTTCAAGCATACATGATGAAATTTTTAGCAAATATAATAAAACATTTTATATTTCAATAGTTCAAAGAAATAAAAATATCATGGGCTATATATTTGTGCATAAAACCTAAATTTTTTTTAGTGCAACATTTTTTTAAAAAAATTGTAAGTTTTTTTATTAGATAAATTTTTGAATTTTATACTAATTCGTACTTTTATTGTTAATCAGCAGTAAATCAAATAATTTGTTGACATCGAAAACATAATTTGTTAAATTATATTACAGATTCCACAGGTCCCTTATGATAATACTGTAGATCCTGTTGCGCTTGTGGCTGTGACAACCATCTAATTTTTCCCAGAGTGCTCACGACGATTACATCTCCATCACGTTTATACACCCAAATTTTTTTCTGCTTCGGGTCAATTAGCCAACCAAGTGTGACAGCCGTTCCAGGTGCAAAATAGTCATGCATAAATTTATGGTCCAGTTCTTCGAACTTGATCTTTTTTCAGTGTCACTAACCTCAACAACCAAGGTAGGAGTACTTGAAAACCCCAGCGTTGTGAATGAGTCAAGTTACATGATATATTTTTAGATGTAAAAGAGATATCAGGTGCCCTTATTGTTCTTCAGCCTCCAACATTGAAGTCAAACCCTCCTTGTGATGTTTTAATATCACCATTTTGTTGAGCAAAAAGATTCCATGTACAAAATTGCCTAGTAATTTCTGCAACGGTAACTTCCATACAATGAGTGGCTTGGGCAGTGTCGAAATTGGGTTGCGGAGTCTGCGGACCGCAATAAAATTTTAAATTCCTGCAACTAAAATCTGAAGTGCATATGCAAATTCCGCATATAAATTTGCAAAATTTACCTATAAATTTCAATTAAATGTTCATGTGCGCAACTAAATTTTATAAATTTTTATAATCCGCAAGTCGTTTTT